GAAATAGAAAAGATTTAAAGTCCAGTCAGTACCCATTATTTATAACCAAAATGTACATGGGGAGTATTCCCTGCACAAGCATACACAGAAGCTTCAGAATGCAAAACTGAAGAGAAATAGAAATACAACATTCAAAAGTAGCTGAACTGAGCCCTGTGGAGATTGCTCTGACATTGTTTGTCTCATTTCGCTATAAATTTCTTTATCCAGAACTATCTGATGCACATAAATGGTCCCTTCTCAGCATGGTTTATTTTGTCACTCTAATTTACTTCACAATGCATTGTGCTGTGATGTGCACGCTTTGTATTACTGTTATATGTTAGCTGGAGGAAAGAGGTGACTTTTCTTTGAATGTACTTATGTCGACACACGTAATAGTAAGGTTGCAGTTTTCTATCTAAGGATCTTACATGTCCTCCCTTTACCATTTTATATGAAAGCACCACAGTCTTTAAATGTATTTGTTATTGCATGGTTCCATGGCCACAGTGAGGTGCTTTCATCTCCGCTTGTAAGGTGTGGAAGCTGTGGAAAGGAGCTTGATGGAGTCGTGCCTTTCTCCCCTGCAGGCTAGAAGCTCGCAGGGTGCCAGTGCTTTGGGGCACAGCTCTGGGCTGGGGGACCCCGTGAACCTGCCTAGGCTGGCAAGCTGGCTGTGGGAGGACTGGGAGGGGTGGCATACACTGCATTTGAGCTGCTTCGTACAGCAGCCTTCCCAAATAGCATACACCTATCCAGGGAGATGGCTTAACCTGCCAAAAGTCACAGAAGTCATCTGTGACAGAGCAAATGCTTCCACTTGTGTCTCTCTGGTATTGTTCTTATCCTGGTTTTCACTTCTAAAGATGCTTCTCATTCCTTTTCTGTGCAAGAATAAGCTATATGACACACATATTTCTTCTGATATAATAGTGCCCACACCAAGCAGTTGTCCTTCAATTACGGTGGTACAGCTAAAGCAGAGTAGTTCTTCTGTTCAGTCAGCTCTTGACAGATCACAGGTTTTTGGGTTTTTTTTAATTACTTTGCACTGTATGCAAAATACAAAAGACAACATGTGTTGACTAAGTAGAAAAGAACGTCATATTTCCTTTCTGAAACCCTTGGGACTGTACATTCAGAGCACTTGAATTATTGCATTATTCATTTCTACAACAGCTTTTAAGAACAATTTGGATAAAAACCTAGTGTCTGAAAGTGAGATGAAGAGTTTTGTTTAGCGATGGGCAGGGATGGCTGTGCATTATTCCTTCCCCGAGGAATTGGCTTTGCTACTCCAGCCTTGCGGCTTCAGTGTGGCTCTGTCCATGTGTATGTGGTCACTGACACCTTGTGTTGATCCTGTCTTCTCCCCGTCCTGCACTGGCTGCCAGCAGGGCCATGTGCTGTGAAGGAGGTTGTATAAGGTTGAGAGATGTCCCTGAGGCCCTGGAATGAGCCACACAGCAAACTCATGTTGATCTGTCATCTGCTCACGATTTCAACCCAGGTGAGAGACGATTTCCCTCACGGAAAGGCCACATTAACCCGCTGCGCTGCTCCGCTCCCTCTTGTCTGCTGCGCAGGTCTCATCACTTAGCCATGCCCTCTATTCCTAGCAACGTAGGTTCAAAGCACTTCAAAAAACGGACACATCCTGTAACTCTTGGAAGGCTGTGGCTTTACCAGTTGTTTATGGGCTGGCCTTAGCTCCCCACCGGTGTTCAAACACAGAGCAGCCATTTTGTCTTCAGAGCCCCTCAAGGCAAAATCCTGCTGGTATTCTTCTCACTGGGACTTTTGTTCTTTCTTTCCTTATGTTTTTTGTCAAACTGCACTATGGAGTCACACTGACTACAAGCCCATACTGGCTCTGTGTCTGTGGGAAATGCTACTGGTAACAGACTCCCCTATCTGTAAAATGAGTGTGATAAAGAGTTCAGGGGTGGCAGCCTGAACTGTACTTTTCTCTGTCACGGGGATGAACTGAGGCTTTGTCTCTGGTTCAAGCCCTGCCAGCTTAGCATCACACCCAATCCTGTATTTGCCTAGGAAAGGACAAGGAAACTGACACAAGAGAAAATCCTGCAGAAATTCAAGATGACTTCAAAGTTGCTTGCCGGAATGGCTGTAAGGTGCACTGTCAAAGTTATTAGGCAATAACAAAAAATAATCCTAGCTGTTTTTATTTACAGCTGGCTTAGCTGGAGGGCCGGGGTGAGGAGCTTAGCAGGGTGGCTGCGAGTCACGGCAGGCTGGGGAGCCTGGTGGCCTTCCCCACGGCTCAAAGCAGCAGCTCAAATCCACAACAAAAGGCACTGATCTCCCCGTTAGCAGATAGCAGAGAAGGGCTGAAATAAGCCCCCGTGCTTATACTTGAGTTCTCCATACATGTGGGCTCGGGAGGCAGCTTGCGACATATAACGTTGGGGCACTACGCTCAGCCCCCATCTATTCATCCTCACTCTCGGTGTTATCAGGAAGATAACCTTAAAGTTCTCGGGCATCTCTGCTCAAAGTCAAGAGGAACGCAGGCGTTATCGGCAATACACGTGTGAAGCGCGCACTGCCGCGGCCGCTGATGTTCCGAGAGGAGCCAGGAGCCGCCCTGTCGCCTGCCGCCAGCTCCCTGCGGGCCGCAGCAGCGGCGGGGCCCGTCGGGGACCGCTCACGCTCCGCCGGTGCCGGCGCGC